ACACGTGTATTAAAACATAAATCTTGTAAAATACTACACTTAGTTGTGTAGGTTACCAACGTGAAAATTCAAAGAATGTGTTTAATTATAATTGTGTTTTGTAATCACTTATATATATATAAAAAAAAAATAATAATGCTTAATAATGTTTATAGGTATGTGTGCATGTGTTTATTTCAACCTTACACCTCTGATGGCATAAAAATATACCATAATTATGTTATTTATTGTCGTTTTATTGTTGTGTATGCCCACTATTAATATTAATCTTATTAATTCATTATACAATAATAAACAACAACGCACATGTGGTAATTACCTACTTTTGCAAATAGATAATAAGAAGTCCGGTCTATACATTCCTATGTATCTATTATTAACTAATGTTAATGTTCTATAAAAAAAAAATCGTTTTAAACATAGCTCGTAAATGTTCACAAAATTGAAATTCATCAACTATTCTACGACTTGGATGAAATAAGATACAAAATTAACAAAATAATATTGTATTTTATGTATACCTATTACAGTTCAGGCCACCTGAATCTGTCCAGAATGATAATTGTTTGTACTTTGTTATGATCATATTATAGTGAATATCTTCAATTTACAAAACATTGATTATTAAGTATTTTTAATTATGTGGATAATTTTAACATGTATCCATGTGTTCATACATCTTAAAATTATCCACAAAATATTTCAATCCATAAAGCTTTAACACATTCGAATACTTTTAAGGTGCAATTTAGAAGGCTTATGAGTGATTTTAGCATCCTTACTTTTGAATTAATACCCGCCAAGTTGTTGTTCTCCATATAAGTTGTAGGTGGGGATGACGACTTTATGATATAGTAAAGTTTTTTTTAGCGAAATTCTGCTTCTGTATTTAAATAATACCCAAGCTAGAAGGGAATGCATCAAATTGTGATGAATCCATTTAAACTTTCTTGTGCACTTCTATACCATACATTTTCTTACATATTTTCATCAATACATATAAAAAAGTAACTTTGATATATTAACGATTACACTTTTTATTTCGTTTAATATCTATTAAAGACGGCTAATTAATCCTACTTATGATACCCTAATTGACCAGATATTACTTTTTGGCGATTTGATAAACAGACGATTTGCAGAGATGGTTATATAATATAATAATATTATGTGCGTGGATAAATCTAATTTATTTACCTTTTTAACATACCATTTTACAATGGCCCTCTAAAAGACCTTGCAAGTCTGTCCTAGATACTGAAAGATGAAAACATATTTTTTTTTGTTTTTAATGTATAAGTAACAATTGAAGTTAGTAAATCGGTCAAATATTTAACATTTTTAATTATAAGTAAATAAACTAATAAAATAGTATAATCTACATCAGTTTAGTGTTGATAGCCATGGCACATGACTAACCACAATACAATCGGCAAGAATTAAAAACAGATCACTAATTTACAAGTAAATTATATAGGTAACCAGATTTTAAAATATTTACTTCTTCAGCAGGCTCCTACCTGATATAATGGGGTTACTTGAGGTTATCACAGAGCCTATTCTCATCATAGTTATAAAAACATGTACGAGCGGTTATCGCAGAATGGAAGCCCGAGATTTATTAGCTTATAAAGAAAACGCTAACATGTCAGTAATTTGATAACACATAGATATAATATTATAACACATCACTCGATAATTTATAAATCAACCCTGAATTCATTTTACTCGAACGTGATTATCACAAACGTAGGAAACAAACGTTTAGACGCACAAAACATATTACAGTCTTACAACAACAACAAAAAAACGTTTAGCAAAATGTTACACTGTTGCAACGGGAAACTGATGCGCTCGTGTCAGTCCGAAGCCCCTATTGACAATTTTAGCGGCTTCTTTAAATTAATTAAAATGTTTAATTTGCATCGAGGGAGCCATAATATTATGGTGTTGATCGATCGACAAGAATTATTTAGGTTGAACTGATATATATATATTTAAAAATAAACGCATATTTTTTATTATGTGTAAACTATCAACTATTTTATGACATTAAACCGAGTTGATGTATGTGTACAATACGAAAATAGACCATAGGTAAAGCGCTGCAAAGGCGTATCACTTGGTACCGAATCAAGTACAAAATATTACTTGAATTCTAAAAAAATTATTTAATTTTGGGTACGTTAAACTAATGACATATCACAACTATAACTATAATAATTAAATAAACTATGAAGGTTACTTTTGTACAGGTAACTTGGTACTTTATATTGTGCACATATTCAAGTACTCGTAAATGTAAAAAATAAATATTAATAAATTAATGGGTACATTAAACTTATTTATAATAGGTTTAATTTTAATATGTTACATTTTAGCTTTGATGCGGAGCCTACAAGGTATTGTTTTTACAATAATGTGTCTGGACCCACGATATCTTTTAATAACCACTCAACCGATTCATTCATGTAGCAACTTCAGAAATTGTTAAAAACTACTTTATTGGGCCAAAAGTTTAAACAAATTACTCATTTCCCTTTAAATTTGAGCATCTTTAAAAAGTACATATTTTTAAACTTAAAATTACGGGGTACTACAACTTTTATCAAATTAGTCAAGTTAGTTCCAAATTTGCACAGAACATTCTTTAAATAATGCACTATCCAAAAACGTTGACAAACCAATCAGTAATTATGAACCCTTTCTCTTAAAGGAAGTGGACGTTTTTTCTTTATTTCTCTTTTTTCGAGCAAAAATTGCTGACTAGAGTAAGGCAACAACATATAACATTTTCTTGAAAATCTGTTGTCAAACTTTTTTTTTATTAAGGAAAAACCTAAATAGAAGAAGACATTTTCACTTTGACCGTAATAAATTTCTAGGTTGCTATGTGTGAGCGAATCAACAGGTATTTGTAAAATATGTGCAGTATATTTAATTACGAAATATGGGTAGGTAACAACGGCAAAAAATTATTATCAACCCCAATTGTATCCATTATAATACTTAAAATAATGTAATTACAATTTAAATTTTTTATTTAGCACATTATAATTTTTACAATACTTTTATTATTGATATTTGTATATCTATTATATCTACAGATTCGCATCGAAACGTTTATTTGAAAATGATTTTACCACATTTAGTTATGTAATTCTAAAAAAACATGTGATTTCCCCTACCCCAATATGCTCCGTTCATCTTATGCCCCGATCCCATTGTGCTGGCTTTACTCGATTAATGATTTTAACTGCAAAACAGAATCTTTTCAACTTCATATACTATCACCAAAATATTAAAAAAGTATGTCGCATAACTACCCAAAACTAAAGTGTGGAATTCCTAATACGTGACCTAATTTTAATATCGAGTTACTATTAGGTATCTAAACGAATACTATTATTATTGTTTGAATAATTATTTTAAATTATGTTTGCACAAAATAATCATCATGCACGCGTCTGTATAACGCAATAAGCGTGTATGCGTGTCACATCATGTACTGTATATGCCAATCCAATGGGATTACCAAGTAGAGTTATATTGGTTTCAAATAATTAGTTAAATTGATGTATTTAAAATTTAACTCTTTTTTTCATAAAAAATGAAGGTTTTTTAGCATTCCCAGGGGTCGTATTAACTGTTCCCACAAACGGCACACGCTATGCTATCGGTTAAAAAAATCACCTATTGTTTAAAGTATAATAATTTAGTACATTAAAATAAACATATTGGATTTCGAAACTAGCGTCATAGGTGGTTTTAATTTTTCTAACAATTGCATAATAATCATTCTTCAAAAGAACACATTGACATGTTTTAGCGTAAAATACAAATTTAAAATAAAATGGAACCAAAAGACAATGAAAAAACGTTTTTCGAGAAGTATATTTCAAATACACCCTTATATGAAAATAATAATACGTTATGGCGAGATCACAAGTACTCTACGTAAGTTGTATGTTAAATTAAGGTGTTTGTTTTCGTTTATATATTTTAGCTTCGATACTAACTAAAGAGGTATTAGCTTTATTATGATGTTTTTATTTTATTTTTTCTATTTTTGTGTGTGGACCCACGATGAACTTTTAAATCACCGAACAGATTTCTTCACGCATTAAGTCAACAATCACTGATTGTCAATCAGCTATAGATTTTATAGAACAATAGATCAACAATTGACAACCGTATATCACAAATATTTTCGAAGGTCCGTACCTAGTTAGAGGTTTTAACATTTTTTTACTAAAAAAAATTCACAAAAACGTTATAACAGGATTTTAACATAAAAGGCCCGGAATGGTACTTCTAAAATCCGATGAACTTAAGATTTTTAAAAGGCAAGTGTATCTCCTATTTTTAAATTAATAATAATTTGCTAAAAACGTTGACTGGTCAATAATCATATTTGGATAATTACTTTTAAAGTTATTAAACTTTAATATTTAGGACGAGCGAAATGGAAGAGTGTAATATTATTTTTACCTGACTGTATTACTCTACCGCCCTCCACCACTTGTTCTAAATTTTAAACTTTGGTAACTTTAAAAGTAATATTTCAAAACTTGTTATCATTCTATCAAAGATGATTGATCACTCTGTATTAAATACAAAATATAATACAACTATTTTATTGAAATCGGTCATTATATTTTTAGGGGTCATTTTTATTTCACAGTCTAACTTTATAGTTAAAAATTAAAACGTTTATCTAATGATATTATGTATTATTAAGTATATTTAAAAAGCATTTTAATTAAGTATTACTGCATGTTTTTAATTACAAAAAAAATTATCGAGTACAATCATTATCCATTTTAATATATTTTACAAGGCACACCACGTGCATTAAACTGGCAAAAATCGATATTAATTGAAATTATCTTAATTAAAACTGATTAGGTAGTATGTGAATAACATGTTTTTGTAGTAATGCGAAGATCTTTTTTGTTGTAGAGTAATAATAATAATTATTTATTTTCATGTGTATGTAGGTGTTATTCATTTTTATTTACAATTATTTCATATTTGTTGATTGGAATTTTGCTTTACGATGTGCTTACCGACTGGTATTACAATACCGCAAAGAGATTTTTTGAAGTCACATCACCACCGTTGTCCGGTGTTCCATTCCCGGCGGTCACAATATGTCTCAACGATCCAATTTATTCTGAAACAATGAATTTAACAACATTGCTAGAATGGAAAGGCCAAAATAAAACCGATCAAGAGTAAGATTGAAATGTATTTCATTATGTATGTACGTATGTCGTATGTATTCTGATAGCTTAACTGATTTTAAACTTGTAAAATTAAAATAGTCAATTAAAAACATTTTAAAATTAAGAATGTGAATTTATGCCCTTTGGAACGGTATAAAATAATGTTTCAGGAACAAGACATTTATATCGTTACGCAAAAGGCATAACTTAACTAGAAAATGTCTTTAATTGTTTGTTTGGTTATTAAATCTCATTATTGGTACACGTGATTTCACGTTCAATAATAATTGTATTAAAATATATATTATTTATATACGTTTTATTTTTACAGTGGGGGGGGGCGTCGATTTAATAACGCAATCGTAAACAAAACTTCTTCATTTTAAGAAAGTTTACACGTAATGTGTTTCTTAATGTACATCCCCTATTAATTTTTAATCTCTCATGACAGAGGTCAAAGATAGTTTTTTCAACAAGTAGCTGAAACAATTTTCAGTAAAAAATCTGATCAAAATTTGAATGCGCCTTTAATTAATGTAGATCATCTCTAATACAATTTTAATTGATACACAACAAACATTCTTTTGAGTTTCGGTTATTTATTTTATACGAATTATAAAATAAGTCAATATGTCACAAATCACAATTAGAACAATTTAGTGATGGTTTTTAGTATTCAAAATAATTTTTTTCTCAAACGATTGGCAAGTTAATATAATTATTGTGCTAATAGCTAAATTTTACCGAGGTTTTATTTATTGATAGAGGACGCTATATCGCTCATTTCTAAGGAGTACGTATAGGCAATTTTTTGCAGAATCTTAATTTAAAGGTTAAACTGTGATATGTAGTTATTAGTTTAGTAATTAGGACTCTTTTTTTAGTAGTTCATTTTTTTTCGGACTATCGTGGCAGCCTTGACAGCGATTTAAAATGTATTTTTCATTCAACCATAACTACTCAGAATGCGTTTTACTCGGTCTATAGTGATTTTAGAGTAGAAACACGGAACACCCAGCATAAAATAGAAAGATAACAATATTTCATATCTTGTGTTTTTTGCATTTTGAGAATTCGTTTTTAAGCTAAATGAATTCTCATTCTCAAGTTATAACTGAATTATGTCAAAATTTGTCCGGGAAAAATTGTATTTTATCATTCAAAATATTTCAATGATACTAACTTAACAGTATTAAATATATAATATTAATTGAGCTCATGATTTAAATTTTAAAGATACTAACATGTATTTTATTTTATATTTATGAGGTTGCAGTTTTTAAATATAATGTACAGTATGTGTTCTTGGAAACACACGGTGGATAAAGTCGCTAAAATAGATCAAGAAATATTATTCAAAGTGTTAAAAGTAAAGTTTCATTTAATATACTACATATTTAAAACAACAGATTTTTGTATATACATTCCAACATCTATTTTGTTAATCGTTGAATATATTATTGAGTATCTGAATACTTATTTATTATATAATTACTAATTAGCAATTTGTTGAATCGAATTTATACAAATCGTTTACACAGGAACATTCAACTAAATGTGAAGAAACTATTCTACAAATTCGATGGCTGGGCAAAATCATAAACGATCCTTGTTCAATTATGCAACCCTTTATATTATTGAGTCAACTATGTTTCAGCTTCAACGCTTTACCGTATTATGAAATGTATAAGCAAACGCCTTATAAATTGTAAGTATTTTACATTTTTAACTCGTATTAGACGTAGTATTAACTCATTTTCTTGCCACCTGAAGTTTATTTAGGATTACAGCCTGATCCGACAAACTATACAGGACTATACCACATATTTATTTAAGAGTTTAGTAGAAAAATTCTCAGTTTTAGGTTCAGAGGAATACCTCAGTTTGAGTGGTCACGTTTCAATACTTCTTATCACTGTTTAGGTTTAATTATATTCTAGATTTTTAGGTATATATGTATTTCGATGAGTACGCTTGTAGATGTTCACCTTTTGATTTGTATTCTTAATGTTTATTTGTAGTATACTTTTTTTTTCTCTATATTTCATTGTTAGATTTATTTATTTAAATTTTATTATACATAAGATAAATAATAATATGAATAAAAACATAATGTTGTTTTAATATTATGTATTCATCACAACAAACTTAATTGTAAGCGATTATACAAAATGTCATATTTCAGACAAAATATATTAGAAATTGGTAGTAAGTGGTCGGAATCGAAAATCGATTGGAATTTGGATAAAGGTTATAACAATGAGAACTCGAGCAGACCGTTACGAATAAATTCATCGGGGCTGCGGAATTCAGTTGAATTTGTTTTGACACAAAAAGAATCGAGTAAAGGATGTTCCAGAAATTCGGGCTTTATAGTTGAGTACATATAAATTATAATGTCTATAATGTATTTAAGGCTAGCTTAAACGTTCTAACCTAAGGTATACGAGTCTAAGGTCATTAAAAAAAAAAATAACTATACTTACCGGACCTTTTACAATTTTAAAACTTTTTCTAGAAGTTAAATTTTAAAAGTTGTTTAATAACTTAATTTGATAAAAGTTCCATTTATAAAAGATATTATACACTTTTAGGCATACTTTCACAATCCATCGGATGTTCCAGATTACTCACATACGTCGTTTGCTTTTTCAAAAGGGACGCATAGTTTTGTACAGTTTAAAACTTACTTATCGGTCACCGATCAGACTTTGGCAAGTTGGACCCCCGAAAACCGGGGTTGTTATTTTTCGGATGAAAGACCACTGATGTTGACGAAGATATACTCAAAAACCAATTGTTACTATGAATGTCAGATTAACTATACGCAAAACATATGTGGCTGTACTCCATACTACTTCATAAGTAGGTGTATATTACCTATGTTTTAAGAAATAAAAAACTTCTTTTTGGGTTAAGAAAAATTGCGGGGGGTCAAATTACGTAGAGTAAGAAAAACAATTATAGTATATAATAACAAGTAACTATTAAGCAGTATCATATTGTTATAATTTATAATCTTTATCGTTTTTAAGAAATGTATAAATATGTTTACGACAATATACAGTCTTCTTCGTTTTGTTTTTCCAAATCTTGTAATTAAGTTAGCCTAATTAGGTACCTATTTTATCTAATCTTAATCGTGTGAATATTAAATTTAAAATCTAAAATATTCGATGGTATGTGGTCTGTTTTTCAACTATGTTGAATCAGCTTAGGGGGTATCCCCAATAAAGTTCCATAATTATATATATATATATGCATATATATTTACAGGGTGCCCATAAAGAACTGACAAATGAAATAACTTTTGTTCTAGTGAATTTTTTTAAGATTTTTTTTTTTTAAATTAATTTATACTCATTTACGCTATAAACACCACGGTATGTATTACACTTAACTGTTTTACTTTTTAAATTATTTTTTTTTGCTACATTAAAAAAAAAAAAATTAAAGATTTTATCGAGAGAATAATTTGCTGAGAATTATGACTGATCGATATGTTTATAATTTTAAATAGAAAAAATAATGATTTGTGATTAAAGTGAAATAGATTTGGTATCAAATAACGTTAGCTCACATCAGTTTATTCCATTGTTTTTTTCCAATGTAAATTCGTGTAATATTTGTCTTAGCATCTCCAGACTGTTTACCGAATCGACACGAAGAAAGTTAAATAAACATAATATACCTATAAATATTTTTATCTATTCATAATAGTATTATAATTAGTATACTCATGATTGTATTGCTTGACGTGCAATGTAGCTAATCTAAACTTGAATAGGGAATTTGTTCGTGTCAATTTAACAAGTGAATGTTAGTTCCTACCTTAGTTCAATTAATGGTTCTTACTTCTTACATTAATATTGTCGGTACTTCTGTCTTCTAATATAGGAAATTTAGTTGCTTTCGAGAAGTTTATGGTTTTACATATTAGACTCTTTTTAACTAATTACTATAATTTTCCCCTGCTTAACATTAATCGATATATGCCATATCTAATTTCTACAACACTTTGTTGCTTCAATCATCAAACTAGTAGAGATGGTTTTTCATAATGTTCAAACGTAACAGAAATAGATTGTATAAAATATTAAAAAATTGTTTTTTACAACATTACTAATTTGTTTAATTTGTTGGTAAATTGTTTCGACAGGCGATTTACTTCCTGTATGCGGGCTAAGAATGGAATATTGCTTCGTAAATGCATCAAGTAATGTTTTCGTTTAAAATGATTTTATTAAATACATTTTGATTATTACATTTAAAAATAAATATTACATATATTGGTCAATACAAATGTATTTAATACAAATTATCTTTTGTTTAAACAGTGCTTGCGGAAGGCACGACAGATATTTGCAAGTGTCTTCCGCCATGTACCCAATACGACTATTCAATATCTTATTCAACAGTACCAAAGGATTTTGAAAATGCTCAACATTCCCTACCATTCTTAAATAATTACACAGACAGGTAACCCATACTAACTTTGCATATAATAAATCTCGTTAATATACTTATTAGTTATTACTTACCTTCCGGTGCATTCGATGAGTCTAGAGTTGGATTAAGTTTTTCGTAGGTGTGGAAAATTGTAGGTATTTTCGAGTATGAGTTGAAAATATGTATTACAAGTTATAATTAAAATGAGTATCAAACAAAAAATGAAGTATCTGACAACAACTTTTTTTAAAATATTTTTTTAATTTATATAGAATACAAATTGAACTAGTTACGACTTTCCAAAATGTGAGTTTTTAAGACTAGGTATTTGTGTGGAGAACTGATAAGTGATGTACTCGACATTTGTTTTGTTTTTTCAGTGCCTCTTTACATTGCACTTTAGTCTTTATAGATCCTAACACTACTGCACTGTTATTTAATAAAATTAATTATCCACATTATATACACTTAATTTGTTTGTAATTTCATACTAATTATCCAATAAATATGGTTTTCGATAAATGTATTCTATTCGCCAAGTGGTCGACATATATTGTGGTTTTTTTTAATAATAAATCTATGTTTCAGCAATTACGCCAATTTTGCTAGTATTGAGATCCATACATACCACGATAACATGTGGCCTTTAGGAAGAGCCGTCAAAGAAACTGCAATTAAACGGTGGGGTAAGTATTTATAATACAGAATGCCAAACAACATGATGTTAGATGATTAACATTAATATTGTTCATTTTTAATCAAAACATTTTAGGTGAACTCACCGCAGTTATAAGTCTATGCTTGGGAGTTAGCTTCATTACAATCATAGAATTTTTCTATTATGCGGTTTTACGTCCAATTGTCATGAATGTATTGTAAACTAATAAATAGAAAACACTAGTATTATAATATTCATAATTAAGATAAAACTCGATTCTAACACGACTTGTTCGTTTCCACTTAAAGTCTAAAACAAAGTAGTAGGTCGGGCCGTGTACCGTATAGAGGTCAGATATCTTATAACTATTAATGTTTTATTCTCTGCACAGTTGTCTGTAAACGTCACCCGCTTTCCTATCAACGGACATATCATTATTTATAAGTTTAAGAATTAAAAATAGTGAAAAAAATTCACTTTATACTAATATAATGCATAAACATTTTTGTTTAAATTTGTATACTTAAGGTGGGTATGTTTAGATACAAATAAATTTATTCGCATATATGTTACTTAAAAGGTACATTACATGACTTACTAACAAAAAAATAAACTTTGAGTTTATTTATCAAAAACGATTTCGGCTCAAAAAGTGAAATTTTTGTATATTACAAATAGTTTCAACTTTTCGTGTTTGATGAATTGCAGCACATTCATTAGTAACACTAACTTTCGTTTTTCAGCAATAAACTGCTTCTGATAAAACCATTTATTATTTATACAAACCTAAAGACCTAATTATGTATAAAGTAACTTAAATAATGTTTAATTACTGTGATCTGTCACATTATCGGTACCTAACATAATATTATATTTTATGACAGGCAGTTTCGATTGTTTTAATAAAAGTTCTCTCTTTCTCGTGTTGTGATAATCTATAGGCTTCGAAATTCTAAAAACTCATCGTTGTCATTTAACACAACATTTAACAATAAAACCAAGCCCGTTTGAGGCAAGTCGGTCACGGGTTTTAACCCTTCCCCCCTTTCAACCTGTTAGTTAATCCCTTTAAAATAGCCCCTCCGTGGATTAAATAACTACCAAACACCTTCCAACTGTGTTTTTTTGGCAATTTGCTGGTTACATCATAAGACGCGATAATTCTTCGAATCTCCATCTACGTTAGCTTATTAGACTATAGACGGGCACGAAGATATTGCGGGGAGGGGGTCATTTTACCTTCCCGGTGGAGTCTTATACCAATGGAAAATCAGCCATAACAGTATGCTCTTAAAGCTAATAAACAAAAACACGAAATAAAGCATGCAAACTAAGTTTAAAATAAAAATGTACAGACCAAAAATGATCTATATGAGTAGCAAACTTCTTTTTACTGTGCGAAAATATTAAAATTGTAATTTTAATTACGTAAGTATCTTACAATCGTCTTATAACTGTCGATATTTTTGAAATTATTTGCGATATATTTAAATATGTTTTTGGATTCTCACATAATCCTGAAATTAATATGCTCTTGCGTTCAATAAGTGTCTTTGGGAACTTCTGTGCTAGTGTTTCTTTTTAACAAACCCGGCACTAATTTCGACTATTGAGGTCACAAGTAAACTAGGTACATTGTTTTGAGATTAAAATTAAGTGTTTACCTAACATAATTAATAATTACTCCAATTTTTACAGTTATAACAAAATCTACATACATAGCACACAAAAAAAAAATATTTTCGCCGTATAATAATAAAAATATAAATTGTATATTTTGCTGACTGTAATGTAAAGTATCTTTGAAATTAAAATTTTACTTTTTTTACGTTTTAGACCAAAAAGCTTTACATTTTGTACACTCTGCTTGAATTCTTTTAAAGAAACAAGTGATTTAGCTTCTTTTTCAACAGTCATGTAACAATACATTTAATATTACATATTTTTTACTTTATTTGGAGTCATTCATAACCGAAAATTATACCTTTCAGTTGGTCAATTTATTATACAAACACATTAAAAAAATATTATGTTGCAAGTAGTTTTAGTTGATTTTCGAATTGAACTCTATTCACAGAAATATAAGTTCAATTTATTTTATTCATTTAATTTTAAACCACTTGTAATTCGTAAAAAGTTAATTTCTATAATTATTTTTTCTAAGACTCGTAAAAACGATTACAATTTGTAATAATTAAGTGTAGTTCTTTTAATATATATAAAAAAAAATGTTAGTCTTTTTGGTCGAAAATCATCATGAAACAACAGCATACAAAATTGTATATGGGAGATATGCGTTATTCTAAAACGAATGTAAAATAAATCAAACAAGTTGATGAGACCGAAATCTTTTTGACATTTATTTTTGGTCAAATATTTCCTATGTAATATTTTATTTCTTATTAAACATAAATACCCGCTTTGTAATGAATTTTAATTTCAGTCGATGTTTAATACACACATTACTTATTGTCTATTGATATTTACCAACAGTGCATAACGTGATCTAATAGGTATTTCCCAACGGCTTAAACGGCTCGCAGTTTGCTTATTTATTCTTATCGAATGTTTTTTATATATTGGTTAAGTTTTATTGTTTAGGCGTAATCGTTTCCAAGTATATTATAATTAAATAAAGCATAATAAACACCGTCAAAACATAATTAATAATAATAATAATATATTATACTATAGTTGCATTTATATTACACCGTAAAAGAGAAATAACAAATATAATTAGTGCGATATTTTGTAAATTGTATATAAGTTGCAATATTTTGTAGAATACGGTTTTTACAGAGGATTTTTCAATTACAACTAATTCGTATTATTAACTATATAACTTTTTTTTTTTAATAATTATATTAACATAATATTAAATGTATTAATAATTAATTAAAATAATAGTATTAAAAAAAAACAAGGATTACATTTATTTATTATTTTGAAGTCGTTAAGTATTTATTATTTTTTTTTTTCACAATACTCGTGTAGCGTGTACGGTCTGTGGTTACTAATAGAGAGGAGCAAGTATATTATATTTTATATTATTGTTATATTTTATTTAATTAACATATTAGTATATAAACCTTTAACGACAATACGTTGTCGTTCAATTATTGTTCAAAGCCATTGAAGATAACTTGTGTGTGTTATCGACAAATATACTTTATATTTGACCAAATTATACGTGTGCAGTTTAATGTGTGTGCAATCGTATAAAAGTTTTATTATTCAAGTATACTTTAAACTCTACAAGATAGTATATGTTTTGAACCTTTAGTTAGTTAATAACTTAGTATTGTGATTGAGACGTACCGCCGAAAACTAGATAGTCTTGTACGCATTTTATCGTGTAATAAATCAACGAAGTAAGGTAATCGATGACTGTGCTGGACGCTGGTAATGACTTGTTGGACAAAATTTCGGGGCACGACTTCAGCGACACTTGCATTAACGGGATTCGGTAACGGTAATCGTCTACAATTATATAAATTAAAATCATTGATTATAGTAATAATAATAATTAAAACACACGCCACCGGAAAACTATCCAGTGGCTAATATACATTTTCTTAATTATATTTTCTTTAAATTATCTTTTAAATAACGTGCTTTTATAATAATTTTATATTTATTTAAATAATGCTGTGGTTTGGGTCGGTTAAAAAGACGTCTCGTCGATAAAAGTGATTTTAGAGGAAAAAAACCTATAATAAAAATGACATAGGATAAGATATTCGAGGGAACGTCATATGCGTTTTTCAAAATATCAATCAGAAAAAAAGTTACAAAGGTTTAAAAAATGTATTTTTGCATTCAATGAATTTTTGGAAATCTTGTCTAAATCGGTTCCAAATATTTTTATATAAATCACTCAGTTTTTCTTGACGGACTGGAAAGTTTTATCCCTGTAAAATTGAAGTAATAGAAATTGTCTAAAAAGACAATTATGAGGAAATGGCTTTATTAAATTGACAGAATAATAAAGTCGATTGGCTACTATTGTTGTAGGAAGGTTTGTTTGAAAGAAAATTATCTGTTTTAAAAAAAAAAAAAATTTCTCATTTGCAGATTTCATATATATAGGAAAAACTCTCGCATAAACAGGAAAGTAAATTACGATTCTAAAAAAAATATCAACCTATTTTTATTTTGCAAACTTATTTGGAACCGATTTGCAGGGATCCAGAGTAGAAATTGTCGTAAAACTATTATGAATAACCTCATTTACATCATAAATCAAATCTGGGTAATATTAATTTAAATAAAAAACAGTAATTTTTTAATAATGATTTATTTGAAATATACTATTTTTAGCGCACCAAATATATAACTGTACATATATGTTATAATAAAATTGTATATTTATTGATTTAAACAATAAAAGATTATTTTTTAAGTAGGTAAATAGTAAATACAAATTTATTTAGTGTTAATATTAATAATAATCTAACCTAACCTAACTCAATAATAATTTATTATTGAGTTGGTAAGTATTTATTTAAACTATTTACTTTAATTATTGTTTTAAGTTTTAATTAAGTACACATTTTTTATGATAGTAACAGAGATTTAAATTGTGACATTTTCCAAAGTTCGAGATTGATCCTTTTTGGCCCATGCCATATCCAATATACATTGATAATAGTGTCTTTATGGTACATATTATACATTCAAATGGTGAAACTGCACCTTGTTGATTTTGTTCCTATATTGTAAAAGGGCTCCTTCTGTTTTATTAGGTTTGTTGTGAATTTTTTTAATTGACTTTTTTTATAAATAATACGTATAGGCTAACTGTTTTAATGCGTTGCTAGTGATAAAATTAAGTAGCTAAAGGTGGCTGATTAGGACTGGTCCATTAATTTAATTGAACCATCAACAAATTATTTGATGATCAGTCAAGTCTTTTATTTATCGATATTTGTATATTGAAGTGCACAACAATACAATAATTAATAATAATTAAAATAGTAAAATATAGTACTAACTAATTTTTAAATAGTTAAATAATACATAATAATTAGCCATAAATTTTGATTTATAGTTTTTGTCAGTTTTATTTTTGTAGTGTATATTATTGTTATGATCATTGTGTATGTTTCAAAAGACTTGTTCGACATTATTTCTGAGCTCATATCCATAATTAACTGTATTTGAAACTATACATTCAATAATTTAAGCCAAGGTATACATTTACATGGGATATCCATTGTCATTTAGGTTCCTCAATTGTAATTATCTTATTTACAAAATTCCAATAAAAATGTAGCGAATAGTTGATAATACACTGTATATTATATAATCAATTTGATAAGGAATTGTCGTTTGAATAATAACTATATTTTCACAATTTAAGAGCATATTTCAATAAAACAAGTATGAATATATTTAAATTATAACTATTGCGTAAAACATGGGATTTTAAAAACTGATGAGGTCAAAATGTCAAAATTCTCATCAATAGACTTTTTTGGCTCAGACTTTGTAATTAATTCTACACTCCTTTACAAATTTATTCGGGTAAAAAAAATATTCATAATTTATATTTAAAATTTAAGATTTTTTTCTCTATTCAACATTAGAAAATCATTAGTATATGACATAAAGGTAACAATAATAATATTATAAAAAGAGAAATACAATCGAAAGTACTTATCCTGTCACTGAAGCAATCAATGGTTAACGTTCAAGATAAAAAACAAATTTACTATGCATTCTGTGATAGGTACGTATAAGGTAACAAAAATAAAAAGATAAGAAATTATTATTAATTATTTATTTAAATAATTATAAAAAAAAAACAAATAAATAGACAACAAGCCGATAACATTTTTTATTATCAATTTTTGTTTTCTTAAATTTGTATAGATTTGCTGCCACTTAATGTAGGCGCCGTTGTCCAAATATTTATTATAATTTTGTGATTCTTGAAAACAAGCGATTAGCTTAGATCTATATTAATTTTAGATTATATTATAGCAGTTTTTTTTTACTATGTTTAAAAGGGGCAAGTTTATTGATGGTGAGTTACATACTAAAGGTGAGCACCAACAGTTAACCAACCAGTTAATTTTTTAGACCGCTTATATTGCAGTAATAAAAATAATAAAAATTTGTCAAATTGTCAAAGCAATTTAATAGGTGTTCAACTGGTTTTTAATGATAATTAATAACTCTTATTTTAAAAAATATATTGAAATTAACATATATATTATAAAATTTACGACTGAAGTTAAAACAATAATTATAGTTAATGAACTAGTTGGACAGAATTTAATTAAATGACGAATACAAACTAAAACGATTCGAAGAACATATTTTTAAAATAAATAATAATTATTATGTAACATTTTTCAAACAAATTAATTAAAATTAAACTAACATAATTAGAAACAACCACAAAAATTATTCCAATAAATAATTAGCAACAAAGGTATTTTTATTCGAATAATATTCATAATGGTTTATTTGAAAAAATGTTTATTTGACTAAACAATTATTTTTTAAATAAAAAAATGCACAACTCTGGTTATAAACCGCTGTTAAATAACTGAAGGTATATAGTATATAAATTATCAAAATAAAAAAATATGGTCTTAGCATCTTAAGAAAATTACTTAAAATAGCACCAATAATTAATACATATATATAAAACCTATTAGTTCAAATACCTTACAGCTCACCTATAATTTTTTTTTTATTGTAATTTGTACAGATGTTGGTTTTTGATCAAATACTGCATTTTGAGGTTTCTGTAAAATTAGAATAAAATAAAAACTAGGGTTTGAAGAATAAAACAAAAAAAATGTTTGTTTATTCAAGTATTAAATATTTATCTTTAATTTGGTCTTTAATCTTGTGTAATATGTTTATAGATTCATAATGGCACCAGAAAAACAAAATGTGGATAATGTTATGTCAGAATAAAAAAATTAAAAATTGTCTACAATGTTACTCGTTTATAGATGAGTTTGTTCGTTTGGGCCTTAATTTTTAAATTTCTCCCTTAGCCTTCAATAATTCTTACAAGCGAATATTTATGTTTGTGAAAAAGAAAATTAATATTTCCATGCGAGATATCAATCAATGGCCGAATATAGCTGTTAAGACAAAGAATTTATTTTGGGATTTCATCAGTTAGTTGGATTTGGCAAGAAGATAAAAATGCTCCTTCTGTGCCCACAGCTGATGAAAATTCACATAATAAGGCAAAAAAAAATAACATTACCTAATGACTACACTGATGTTTTATTAAAAATAATTTATGTATTAACGTGTAACTTAAAATCAGAACTGAAACCTATTGTAGTTTAGGGAGAAGTTAATTGATCTGTGTTGATATGCCTCTCTTATTCCAGCTCATAACAGTCATAATAGAAATGGAGTGTCATCATTATCAGAAATAGCTGAACTCTCTCTCAAAGTGCATTAGAAGTATGCGAATGGTAGTAAGTTAAAGACTGATTCTTGACAATTAGATAAACATTGTACCCAAAAATAAGTATAAGCCAAAATAGTTACTATCCATGTCTTACAACAATTTGTTAACCAAAGGACTTGTACTTTAGGCTGCCAAATTTATAGGCACTCTTCACTTTTGTATGAATTAGGCAAATATGCTAGTATATACATATTTTTATCAACGCCAAAGATCATATATATTTTATAATCTAAAAACAGTTGTGATTTTTTTAATTTCAGTATAATTTATAATATGTGATATTCTAACAATGTTGGTAAAAAATGTAACGTAATGACATCTAGCGGCAAATATTGATACCATTTCGTGAATATAATATTCTAGACACTAGATCTCGCTAAGCATTGTTAATTGCAAGTATGGACAAGAAATAAGTATATGTTTGCATTTTTACTATAATATAAAACAATCTAAACACAATATTAAGCGCACTCCTATTTGTTGGATTGCATTTCTAGTTTCCATTTTATCCGATTTTAATTGTGAATAACGTTTGGAATTATTCCTCTCATAATATCTTTTGTGTTTTGACTATACAAGCTGTTATTATTTTCCATTGTTTTTAGAATAGTTAAAAAACAATTTTTTTACAAACTGTTTTACAATGAAAACAAATAATGAGAAAAAGTGGAACTCCTTTAAACATGTAAATCGGATAAAATGGGAACTTTGGATTGATGAAAATAGGGTCAAGGGTCTATTTTGTACAAAAATAGAGCATGTATGCGTTGTAGAAGTGGAAACAAAAATTAAATATAAAAATAGATATCTCTTTTTCGTGTTAAGAGGACGTTACACCGGACATTTCTAAGGAGTGTAGTAGTATAAGCAATATATCTCAAAATCTTAATTTAGAGCTTGAACTATAGTATATATTTGTTACATACAGTAATGAGGATTCTTTTTTGTCAGATTATCACAGTAGTTTTATATAGGTTAGTTTACAATTTTTTTTCAAAATTTCTTTGCGTTGGACAAGTATTTGAGGCCAGTTCTAACGTTAGATTAACCAAATTTTGCCAATGTATAGAGAATACCTTTATCTGTTTACTATGTCTATTTTTATATTTTTGATATCTAAAAAATCATCTAAAACGCGAGCCGTTTACTTCTGAATGATATAAGATGTCAGTAATCCAAATTTCTACCATGTTACATATTATTGTGAATTGGTTGTTTCCTTACCAAAAACCATTAACAAAAAAATGGAAATAAGTAAGCAGTTAAGTTAAGTAGTTTAAACTAATGTCTTTTTTATTTTAATTTCTCACTTGCACGGTAAGCAATTACTATGGTAATAACTAATAGATCTGCTGTGTTGTATTTTTAACGCATTAAGTTGTGTAATCGTATGTTACATAATGAATTATACTTGGGTAATTATAATTAGGTCAACCCAGGAATTAGTTTATGTTCATGTTTGACTTAAACAAAAAATAATTTTTTTGATAATCTCGTTTCAATCTTTAAGTATGGAGACTATTAGTTCTTTTCCTCATTATTTAATTTTCAAATCGGTATTCAGTTGTCTGTTCTATCAAATCAATATGGGCAACCTAATCAAACCTTACAATATTGTAAAATGCAGTGTCCGATAACAGCTCGGTTACTTTAAATTTAACAAAATATACCTTCATCCCACTTCTTAATGAATATGTAGGCTGTTGAAGTTCTCTTCTATTTTTATTAGTATCCATTTTGAACAAAATTAGATACACAACCCTTGTAACAAAGGTCCAGCTTACCTGCAACTAAAAATCTGAGTTTTCCCCCGTTAAAACATATAGTGTGCAAATCTATCAACACTCGACCAGTATATTTCACTGTAATTTATCTCTTTTCTCTGCACTATGTTCTAATTCAGTCGTCCATTTTATGCTTCTGCTTGAATACAGAATAAAATCAGTTTAACCTTTTTAAGATATTGTAATCCTCTTATTTTTTTATTAACTGATACAAGCAAAATATTAAAATAGGTAATTGTTTTTATTCACGGCAGAGCTGTACATTTATTTTTACAAGCAATTTGTATACATAAAATAACGGTATAATCGATTAAACTCGATTGATTATAATCATAGAGCGTTTTTTAGTTATACAAATTACAAATAGGTATTTATGTCGTTAACGATCAAAATCTGAAATATATTAATTTCACAATTAACATCTGGTTAAACATGTTACTTATGATTTATGGCTTTTTAATTAAACAATGGAATTTAAACGGTTGTAACATATTTTGTAGGTAGTATACAATTGCTTTTAGTTGAGGTGATAACTTGTATGATTGTTATGGTATTCAAGTTTTACTATTGATACAAAAAATATATATTATTTAGTTTAACAGGCAAGAGCCATCACTGGCAACTGTGATGAAGAAGATTCGTAAATTTAACTTTTGGATCTATTAAACAAATAAAATAATAAAACTTAGGCTACATATTTTAGTAGACGTCTCTAAAAATCGTATCTGTTTCCAGTTGAACTAACAAATAAAAAAAACTTTGACGAGTCTTGCTTTATGAGCGAGCAATGACGTTCATTTTAAAACCATTGATCTTTTATTAATATTGCTCTCCAAAACAGAGAAAATTGTTGGCTGTCAAACGAATACCAAGATTTATCCTTAAGATGAATGGAAAAAATGGTAATAACATGTTTATTTTGTTTAAAAAAATGAGTTGAATAGTATAGAATCTATACTACAGATGTTAACTGACAGTGTATCAAGTATTATGTAGTATACATACATCTCTGTAGAGATAACGACACAACTCAGTTAAATATAAGGTACCTTACTAATAATCCCAGCCAATTATGTTGTATAATTAGGATTTACAATATCTCGAATGCGTTAAACATATTTAAATATATTTTATAGCTTAAAATGTATGATATACTTGAACTAGCTCAAACAGTTTATAATTCGAATAAAAGGTTTTGGTTGAGTTAGAAAAAAATTAGTTAAAGAACAATTTTTATCGAAAAAAAATCTAATTTCATTTTTAATCTGACTTTATTTTGATACTGATAAAATCAAAAACTGTATTTTTTTTTATCGTATGAGACATAACTATTTTAACAGGCCCAATTGACCTAATTTCTATTTTGTAGGTTATCTACAAGTACACAACTTGTGGAATTACATTTTCAATGAGATAGATAAATAATTGTACATATTTTTTTTTTTTTACTATTGATATTCGGTAATTTTTGGCCTTTAACCTTTTTTGAAAGAAATGTTGCATTGATAAATATGATAGGATACAACCTGAACATAAATAGGTGTACAAAAAGGTATACTATAAAACGAATTAATGGACCATTAGTTTGCGAGAAAATGGAAAACTATAAAATATATTAATTATTTCGTTTTTAATATTTTATAATACATACATATAATAGGGAGTAATAATAATGTAAGTATGAAATAAAAAATTGTACATAGGATTCTGTCTGATGCGCTTCTTCTTATCAAACCTGTCGTTTGAAATGTGTATTATACTCAAATGAAATAGGTTCGGCAAGGTTAGTTTTTTTTTTATAAATATTGTACCTGTATATACGTTTTTTCTTCGCAGTTGTATAACTTATAAGACGTTAAGCAATCACTAATTTTGACCATACAAAATGTGTTGTTGAGAGTAAATCATTTTCAGGTACACACTAACATTGCGTTCTAGAAAATGGTTCTAGATATTATAGTATTATCGATATCTAACGAATATCTCACTCAAGTTTGGACATAATTGGTCTATTCTTAAAAAGTTACAGCGTGTCATAATTTTGAGCAGAACGATGAGTAAGTTTTTTAGGTTGTTTTCCCAGACTTTGAAGGAGAAGAGGTGAACTGCTTCCATTTTTAACGTAACTACAAGAAGTTAGAAGTCCATTTAGAAGTACCATCCGGGTCTTTATGGACTAATAATCCGGTAATTGTGTTTTTTTTGGCATTTTCTTTGATAGGATAAAGTCGGACATACAATCTTTGGCCTTGGACAATACCTTTGACGTACGACACCCGCACAATCAATGTTGACATTTTATAGATCACCATCATTAGAATATCAATATTCCCATGAAAACTCTTACAATAAAATATGTATATTTATCTATACTCAGAATAACCACTTCACATATCCCGTCATCGACCGTACCGTCTATCAGCTCTTATCTCGTTTATATCGTTCGACTTGGCACGAATATATTATTTATGTGTCTGTGTTTATTTGTTATAATATTTGAATTTTGAGCGTTATGTAATCTACTTGTACTAAACCGCACTAAATAACTTATAGTTATTTAATTATTTGAATAACCTGTAAAAAAAGATAATATTTCTATTTTTTAAACGGATTGTACGATTGTTTGTATTTTGTCGGTATACACCTTTAAACGACTTACAAGTAACAATCTAGTGGCTATATATATTAGTTATATAATTTGGTTATATATAAATATTTTTTTTTTGTACACCGATTGAATATGATGATTTTTAATTAACCGCAGTCATTTAGGTATCTATTGAGAACTAGTACAAAAAACTGCAATGAAAATTAAAATTTTGTATCTCAGGTATGTTTGTTATTAACTACTATTAGTATTCCAGCGAAGCCACTGTTCGTGTGCTGGCGGAATTCTTAAACTGTTTATTTAGGTTAATATAGCAAAAAACGCAAAAATACATCTGTTTTGTGCTTATTGTTATATTATGTGTATGTGTGTAGGTATAATAATTACGTTGTATAGGGTTTATTGAACTTTGGGTCAATTGAACTTTGAAGCGTCGAAAACCAAAATTACAATAGTGACATATTTTTTAAAAATTAAGTTTTCGCTCATGCAGTATTTATCAATAATAATAATACCTATCGGCTGTATTTTTTCAACGAACGAAAATTATTTACAACATCATCCATTTAAGCTGAGTTAGACAGAGTTAACATAATCACCTACAAAGCTGATAAGTGATAACTATTGAAAAAATGATAAATAAATCTTAATTATAATTAAGATTTGAGTTTAGACGTACTAACTCTTGTAAAAACTGTCATTTTAGCCATGTATAAAAGTCTTATCAATACTTAATTTATATACAATTAGATATATGTACCTAAATTAGAATTTTACTGACAATTATTCTTGTACTGAAAAAGTTATTAAAAAGTCAAAGATGAACGAAAAAACCTTTAGAATTCGAAAATTTTGAATATTTTTAATTGAGCATTGTTTTTGTACCATATTTTATGATTGAGATTTTACATACACAATTTACCCCTACAATTATATGACTTGGTTTATTTATATTGCAATTTTTTCAGACTTGAATCTGATTTTGAAAGTCCCACCGAGTTCCGAATTATTATTCACATTATAATTTACCAATTGTGTTTATTAACAATCAGTAATCAGTTAGGTTAAGTTAGATTGGCCACATAGTCAACACAAAACTGAATGAACGGAGAGGACAACTATTCCATTTTTTCAACCGTGGAAAAAGAACGGAACTTCTCAAGTGCCGATTTTGAGCCAAAAGTTCAATGTTTCTCGGTAAAAATGCATGGAAAAGTAAAAGAATTGAAGATTTTTAAGTTCAATACAACGACATTAATAACGTCTGTAATGGTTAAATAGTAGGGAAAAAATGCTATAAAGCCGCTTCCGTTGTAAGTCTAATCGCGGTGGATTAGTTTTAGCTCTTGTCCGAAATAACCATTATTGGTGATTTATACATAATATTATAGTATTATGATGAGTACTAACCAGCAATAGTATTCGAGACCTTTCTCCTGGTGTAAAAAGTTAAGGTAGGTAGGCGTATTGGCCATCGTTAGTACTTACTACCTATAGTCCACGTCGAAATGAACCGACAGCGCGGCCGGTGTGGAGAGTATGTGTGATTCCTACGTTAGGTAATTTTCTTTTGTACGATGGCGATATGTTCCTATTATTATTGTTATTACCGCCAGTGGTGTAGGTACAACTTACGCACCTACACGTTGCCTTGCGTTAGACACGGTACGGTATAGTATATTACGCGTCTACGTTGATAGTTTGTTGGCGGATTTGCGGGCCACGACGACGTTGCGGTAGAGTAGTACCGCACGGGCCAGCGGGCACGCCGGGACGTACCGCGCGGCGCTCGGCAGAGGGGCAAGCTGGAAAGCGGCAGGTACCGACGGACCGGTGGCGAGCGGGTAGCGCGCGCGACGGCGGAGGGTGTCAGACGGATGGTTTAACGTGTGGTGTGGTGTGCATGTTTGCCGACCGATCGGCGGGTGTGTCACGGTGGCGGTGCGACGGTTGATCGTCGGCAGCGGGGCGGGTAGTAGGGCGGACGACGGTAAGGGGAGACGCATGGTCGGAGGGTAGTCTAGCCGGTCGGTGCGGCGGCGGTGGCGGACGGGTGAAAGACCCAGACGGTAGACGTAGGGGAAACGGCGGGCCCGCGTATGTGTGCGCGCGTCAGGAGAAGGTGACGGTCGGGAGGGATGGGGAGAGACTGAGGAGAACGGCGTGTCGTCGGATGAAAACCCGAATGGAGGGGAAGGGAGCGGACGGGAGAGAGGGACGCGTCGCCCGCCCGAGTGTGGCCGCCGACGGTGTGTGCGCCCGCCATTCGGTTGCCAACTCGTGTGTGTGTGTTGGTGCGCGCGCGGGTGAGTGTTTGTCGGTGCGACGGCCCGCCCTCCCGTCTGTCCGACACGTCCGTCCACCGGGATCGCCGGTTTTTCGCGGGACCGCTTCTCCCGACCACTCGACAACGGCGGCCTTTGCGCCGGTTACGTTGTCGTAGGGGGCCGTTGGAGCATAACCGGCCACGGCGGGCCTTTGCCATCGCGCAGCCACCGGCGTAAGCCGCACGACACGCTCTTGCCGGCAAAGTCGGCGGCGGCGTCTCGCCACGCTAACCATTCGCCGGCTGATCGTCGACGTCGACAGCCGGCATTTGAGTATCGCGCGCGCTCTCCGCCGAGGCCTTTGTATGAATAAAAAAAAAAACATTAAATACATTAATTCAACATTATTTTTTTTTCTCAACGTGTAGTCGATTATTTTTTGAAAAAAAAATTTTTTTTCAACGCGAATATCGCTTAGTTTTATTTCACGTAAGAATCTCTCGACGAAAAACCACTGTCGGCCAAAGAAATAGGATGGAGTGTATTTTTACATCACCTCAAAGACGTCATCACTCATCAGGTAAGGACAATTTTTGTTTTTTTGATCATAAATCAAAATATAATGTAAAATATTCGTAAAATTAAAAATTTTTGGAAACTTACTCGCGACTTTTCAAAAGTATAATATAATATTTAATTCGGTCGCACGTAGAATTTTTATTAAATTCATACCGACATGGAAATACATGCAAAATCTTTGTTCGCACTTTGAAGGTATATTCCGGTTTTTTTAAATAATATAATATTATGTAAAACTAGAAACGCCAATAGTATGACGAGAATTTTTTTTTCTTTTGAACGGCTGAAATAAAGTAATAAAAATAAAAAGTAGTCTTACCAGTTTCAAAGGCCACCGGCAAAACGCGTACGGCCGATCCGCGACCTTTCCCTCCACTATATTGGACGTTAATTATTATTATATTATTGTATAGGTTCAGTGACTGCGCGCAAAAGCAGATGTGACAATTAGCAAAATTAACCAGGCCGGGTGTGCGGTTTTTTTAACAACACTTATTCGTACTAAAAGTAAAATTTATGCGCATATTAATTACGAGCCGGTGAAAATTATTGTATTGTTTTTTTTTAATTTAATCGCACCAAAAATTTGCCACGGTGTGACTGTAATAAATAATAATATTATCGGCGAAACGATACTAGTGTCGATAGATAGCGTTTTATCAAATTTTCCCGTCTAAATACCGAAAACTTCATCCCGAACGTTTTGTTATACAGTGACGGGTTTCGATATTATATTATAAGCGATTACATATTTTATTTTAACTTCAAACGGCTGTATTTAAAATCGTGAAATGTTCAAAAATGTTAACCTTAAAGACGTTCTGCAAATTCAATCTAGACATATTATTATTCTATGGAAAGTCGCAAAGGTCAGACTTTGCGGTATAAACCGCAGACGCGGTATTAACCGAACACGCGGTAAATGAATAATAATAATGTGCGCGTTCACTTGTTGACTCGCGAAAATTACCAATCCGTCTAGTCGGATAAGTCGTTGTAAAGTAATTAACTCACATGAAGTGCCATTATAGATTCGGTTTCGGCGAACGCGCAATATTTTATATTATATTATTATATACGTACGTGTACGGTGTGTACGCGTATTATGTGTGTGCGTACGATATAGTCGTGTATGTGTGTTTTTGTTGTTTAATAATAATTATTACTATTATTATTATTATTTTAATACACTACAGACAGGAGGAACGGCGCTCGTCGTCGCCTAATCTATGCGAACTATTATCTATGCGCGGTGGCGGCGACGGGGTCATTGTACCTTTTGGAAATTGCGCATCGGTCGACCGTTTTTTTTTTTTTTTTTATAATTTTGCGAGGCCTCTTTCGCCAACAACTGTGTATATTATATTATAATATATTATATTATACGACTCGAGCCCACAATAATAAAAATTGTGGGCGCACGTTATGTTTTTTTTTTGTTATGTAAAAGTAATAGTAACGGGCGACCGGGAACGGGACGGGTTATATATACTTGTACTTGACTTGTGCCAATCTTTGAAAACAAAAACGTATCTACATATACACTGAGAAACCGCAATTTCTACAATAATAATGTATAAATGAGGCGTCTGTTTTCAAAAAAAAAAACGAAAATAACATTTCAGTCAAAAGTTTTGGAGTGTATACACGACGTTGTGTATGAAGATTTATTTTATAAAAAATATATTATTACAAATATTAGTCTTAACATGTTTATGATTTTGATATAGCTGTTTTTTAACTGATGAATTTTCAACAGTCTGACTGACGATTGCAATAATCGCAGTTGAAAATAGTTTATTAATTTCGCCCCCTAATGACGTGGTGAAATTTACTGCCATTATTCAATTATTCCATTATGAGTGGCTTAAATTGTAAATCAAAAACACGCATAGAAGTATGTTCTGTTGAATTATTAAATTAACAAAGTAGCAAAACATTGTTTTTGAGTTGAAAATTTAATTTGTACACTTTTGGTCTTCATCGCTTCAAGTATTATTATTTTATTCGTTTCTATGATGAGTTCGTTGTATTATATTTTTTTAAGTTACAGTGTAAAATAACGATTTTATTTAATACTTTTACTCTCCGCCTCGATTTAAACTGGAAATTTTATAATAGGTCCTCGATTAAGTTGTCCATAATAAGTGTGTTCGTGAGATATATATTTGGTTGGTCCAGGCTAATAAATAAATAGAGGTGGCTCGCACCGCAGGCTTTTGCGTTCTAAATAGAATTATCTAATTTTGCGCCCTTGAAATTAGTATTAAACACATTCACCTAATTAACTAACCTAATAAATATAACGAGTTCGGTGCGTCACATTTAAACAAATTTATTTTTATTTTTTAGCATCGATGCCAATTGGGTTTTTTTAACAACAATAATACAATTATTTGCCGTCGTCGCGCCGGTCTGGGCTATTTTTTTTTTTATCATCACCTTTTCATTTGTTTCGCATTTTGATACTGTCGGTGCAGGTATAAAGCCCAAAGTTCTGTATTTTACCCGTGTATTAGTATAGGTACAAAACGTGTTTTATATAATGTATATAATATATAAGATTAATTCTGTTGTTTATGTGTTATATTTTTAAAAATGTATTGTATTATTTTTTTAAACGCGATAACGGAGTGTCCGACGGGAAACTTATATACTATTATTATCATGTGACTGAATAAACGGACATAATATCATTGCTAGATTATGAAATTTTCCTAACTTTAGGCAATTACCCCCCCCCCCCCCATCGTGGAAGATTTAAAACTTGTAATCAACTAATTATCAAGCAATTGTGGTGTCTGTTTAATTCACAGATATTTATGCATATATATATAATAGACTAGATTGCTAAGTGTACGTTATGCCGCCAATAGAGATAATTGAAGTTGCCATTTTCCGCCATTTTTGTGGGAATTTGAACCTTATCACATGTTTATAACTGTTATCAGTGTTTATTACAATATTACAAGTAAGTTTGATAACACAGAATCACAGATAAATATTATATATTTTTTTTTTTTGTACACACATATAAATCCCACAAAAATGGCAGACGTCGACTTCAGTTTTATCACTAGTTAGTAATCCGGTATGTTATGTTATATATTATCTGTAGTTTACGTAGTCATGATTATTATGTGACCGATAACATAGCTGACAGACTGATTGATGGTACTGTAATGTTGATGATAACAATAATACTATATTAATATTATAATAATTGTATTTATGAGAGTTGATGTGCAAACGCGAGACGGTATAATTATAATAATAATAATCGTATCGCTTGTTGCCCGTCTGGAGGAGTACATCGTCTTAGCTACTATAATATTATGATTGTAACGTGTACCCGGTAAAGGTATTATTATTATAGTGTCCTATTTTATAATGACTCTTATCACAAAATATGTTCGCTTTATAAACACATTGACAGAGTCTTGTTTGAACGTCTCAGATCAAAGGTAGTTTTGTATTATACATTATTTTTACTAGATTACATTTGGCTATAAACAGTTCTAACAATTATTTTAGTATGATATAAAAATATAAATTGTTATTTGTGTTGTAAGGGTGCCAGTTTATTTGCTTGTCGTTGTCAGAGTATAAATAAATCAGTCACAAAATGTTTTTATTTTTTAATTCCATAACTAAGAAACAAACGATGATTTGTATTGCCTACAAAAAAAAAAATTATAAGGAAATAAGTTTTCCATCTTATTTTAACAAACATAATATTATATTTATTTTTGGAAAGTCTTCAATAACAACATGGTTTATGTTAGGTTAGGTTACATATTTTTTACATTAAAAAAAAACTATATTTTCTATTTATTACCGTCCTTTCACACTTCGGAAACCGTTTACATCTCAGTATATATTTAAAATAGTTTTCTTAAGTTTTAAAAGCACTACCTATACTTAATTACTGTTAATTATAAATATAAATACAGACTGTATTATACAGTTCCTAATTTTGTGAATTATTCGCTTTTTAAATGTTAATAATTCCAGAAGAGTTTATTGAAAATTGGTCGTAACTACATCAGTCATTATTTTTAACTGCAATTTATATCTACATTTTATGTGGTTTCTCGAATGTGCCTACATATTGTAAGTCGTGAGAATCAAAACGGTCGAAAAACAGTTTGGAAAAGGGTCTCGTTGAAAAATATTGTACAATCAAAAACTTGTTTAAAAAACTTGGCATTTGTTGTATTGTCGCCATGTTAACTTTTGAATCGGTTTATATGTACATGTTTGGCCCTTTTGTGGCCGCTAAATTTATGAACGGAAAGTAAAATCGGTTACACTCAAATTTTCGGGTAAATACTGTGCGTTTATCGCGTACAAATCCCGTAAGCAAACCCTTGTGTGTTATTCGACAACTTATTTACTTCCTAGCCCCTACCACAGGGTAAGCACCGTCCAGTAGGTACATAAATTCGGGAAGAAAATAACAATAGCGAAAACGTTGTGCGAAAAAAAAATTATAATAACAACCGAACGGTTCGCGAAAAAAACATTTGTGTTGACTTAAATTGTGTTGTTTCGAAACAAATATAATATTTAACGTCGTCGCTGGGTTCGTCGACCCTATATGATGTACCTATGTCTACATAGTGTATAAAACGGCACACGTATTCAACGGCACGTCGAGTACGCGGTTTTTTAAATCAAAATTTAAATTTAAAAAAAAAAACCGAAATCAAGGGCTCCAAAATAAACACTAGGTGGTAACGAGGTCGTACAGTTGGGCTTTATTGTTTGTTTTCAAACGGGTTATTAGGCGCAAACTAGAAATATATATATATATCAGCAAACACTTGGGGTTTAACCAACAATATGTGTTTTAATGGGTTCATGTTGATGTACTTGGGTGGTTGTTATTTCCCAAAATATAGGTTCCGAATGAATATAGACAAAAGTTCTCTATTAATTGTGCGTGCAACGTTGTAATTAAATGTTGAAAAAAAATATTTAAGAATTTTTGTCTAATAATTTAAAACGCGTTTATTTTTTAATACTGACTTTAAAGTAAATGTGAATTTATCTGGACAATATTTTTATATTTTTGTTTTACTCATTTGAAACCGATTTTCAGTTCGCCGACATTAAAATCCTTCACAAAACCCATATAACCACTTGTTCTTTGTAAACACCTCAACATAATAATATATAGTAGCATTATGTATGTCGGTAGGTACTTTATTCGCAGTCGATACGACGGTATACTTCAATACTTGTAATTTACTTCTTAAACAATATTGTATGAAATGATACAGATGCGATTCTGTTTCACCGTCGACTACCCACTTACATAACAGGTATTATTAAATAGTGGTATCGTGACAGCCGCTGGACCTTCTGAGTTTTGTATTTTGGCAAAAAAAAAAAACCTGTTTGCTAAAATATAAACCGGATGCCGGCGCAGGGTTGACTATTCGCCGAGGCAGCTTTCTTTTGCGGCGAAAGCCAAGATGGGATCTGATATGGTAACGTCATTCGAGTCTTAAAAAAAAGGGTCAATCTTACTTTTGTCTGGTAACACGTGTTACTTATCGTTGCCGGTTCAAGATTAAACAAAAAATTTACAAATTTCACATTTACACGTCGTCTATTATAGTTGAAGGGTAGATAACAGGGATAAAACCACCATACAGTAATTCTTCCATAACTTGTTATGGATTTTTTAAAACATATTCATCACCATACATTAGAACATAGAAAAACACACCCTAGACTGAATAATTAAAATTGTTTCCAAGATTTTGATACATTATACTTTCAATTCGTGTTTTAAGTTTTGCGCTGTAAAGTGGTTTTACCACTGGACCCTTCGCTTAATATAACAGTACTTAACAATATATTAGCAATAATTTTAATGTAAATATGTATAGAATTTTGAGTATCCGTCGTAGGCATCTATATATTATGGTATAATTAATATTTTTTTTATTATTCACTTGAATAACTATGATAGTTTCATAAAGAGGTGTTTAAAAATAAAAACTAGATGGTCGACTTTTTACCTTGAAATCGATATCAATTAATTATTGTTCATCATTTTTTTTTTTTTAAACCTAACCTAACTAGACGTCAAGCGGGTAATGTTTTACAAAAATTTTAATTAGACTTTTTGAAGGAGTTTTTAATTCTTTCCTCCATCTCACCGTCATCGTCGGCTGTTGTATCTGATAACATGGATTTAACGACAGTCGCAAACTTAACGTAAAACTTTAGCAATAATAAAGGATGAAAGAAAGTTTTGTAATTAAAACTAGTATATTCGAGTATAAACCGATGAGGAATAGACGACGTGGCCCTTGCCATGGCCCGTCAATCTTTATGGTATTTCTGGAGATGAATAAATGTAAAAAGAAAAAGACTCCCAAGTTATATAACAAGGGTTTTAAAAACACAACCTATTATAGTGCTGTCGAAACCCGAGCAGAAAACGAGCAAATATTGATTTGTTAGAGTAGGTACTTTTGCACTTTTGATTTCAAGTATAAGCTGCCGGCATTTAACGTTACAACGAGATAACATTCAGAACGGAATAAGTGTATAACCTTAAAATATTTTGTTGGCAGCACGTTTGAACAATATTTTAATGACCTCTTATTATTTTGAAAAAAAAAATAATAAACAAATAATTGACACTACACTAGACGTACCTACCGCTATTTATTTTTCCATAATTTTTTAAAAATAATTTTTGAGATAATATTATTATTCAGTCCACGCGACTGCGGTGTGGGAAATTAAAAACTTGCTCGATGATAAAACGGTTTAGATATAATTTACGACGGTCGAATATAATATCATATGTACAGAAAACGTTTGTGCAAAGTCTACCCGTGATAGTGAGAGCCGGTCAATATAATATGATAATATTGTGTGTAGTGTATACACATTGATTAACGCTTTACTATTAGTTCCCAGCGCAAAACCGATAATACACCGTTACCATATAAAAATATCAAAGTATAAAATAACATGACAGTCGATACACCGTTGATGTTTTGTCCGACGACTGTTTTTTGAGTTTTTTTTAATATTGTTCATTCCCCCCCCCCCTATTTTTACAAAAGACATTTTTGTCACTCGTTCGGTCTCCGGTGACGATGATATTAATAACAATAGTAATTATTAGTATTATTATTATAAACGAAATCGGTTCAATGAAGATAAATCGGCAGGCCAGGTCGTTCAACCACATCTCTCTTTAACTTGATAACAATCGAGTCGACCAAAGACCCCTTAGCTCCTCGTCACCGCGACCGCTATAGCTTTTACAAATAATAATAATAACATATTTATAGAACAACAATATCATGTGGGTGATTATATTGTAATTTATCGTTTCTTAAGTGATCACGTTATATTATTATTATTATATTTAGTGTCACTTCGGCTGCTCACAGCGACGTTATAATATATTATTGTATGCCTTTGGTGTACCAAAGTATACACTTAAATGCTGCTCGGCTTATTAGTTACTACTTATTAGTATTAATTTGTATTAGGTTTCGATGGGGGAATAATTTTGTAAACAAATGTTGCATAAATGTGAGAAATCAACTTTTTTTTCTACAGAATTAAAACATTTCAATTAACCTCGAGTTGGTCAAATAAAATGTTAGGCAGTCAATACCGGCCAGTTCTTTGAAATTGACTCTAAAATATCCCATTGTATAAAATTAATATTTCGAAGAAATAACATGAAAATGGTTAAAACAAATTTGTTCGACCTCAACCGCTTGTCCGTCCAATAAGGGCTGTGGCAGTGACCTTAATGTTTTGTTTTTGAAATTATTTTAAGTCATATAATATTATCTAGTTTAGTTTTCAAAATGTTTTTTTTTTCACAGAACTTAAGTTACTTATAATTTTAAAAATATTTATTTTATACATTAAAACAATTTTTTTTTCTATCAGTTGAATATCGTATTTAACAATTTTCACGTCGATCTTTGTAGAGATCAACTAAATAAGTAAAAAGAAGATGTTACCATAGGGTAATTATTTCCCACTCAAGCCAAGAAGGTAAGTTTGCTTAAACGGTCGTGATTTTCGTTGGCTTCGCTAATTGGTTTACTGGCAAACGTAATGATATGTAACAGTTAGCGGTTTAGTTATTATATATATTTTTTTTGTATAATATTATCTGTATCTGCGATCCGGATGACTGTGTTAGGTAAATATACGCACAGCTGGAACAGCTATTTGTTGCGCGCATCGGCTTATAGACTTTAACGGTTTCGCAAATTATGCAAAAATTATTTTCCATAAAATGGCGGCGGCTGTGGCCTAACAAGAGAGGCGGGTCTTGATACGACAATGTGATACAGTACGTGTCTAGACGGTTTCAACGCCGCATCGCGCATCGCGTGGTTTTTTTTTTTTAAATTATTATTTTAGTTAAGTTTTTGCGACACTCGACAGACGACGGCACAAAAACGGTTGGCGCATTAGGCGTATAATAATAATATTATAGCCGGTGTGAATCGGTTTCGTTACAAAATTTCCCGTTTTGGAATTTTCGGCCAACGCGCGTTAGCGTGTGCGCATAAAGTGAAAGCGGAAAGACGATTACCGGCTGGTACGCGTTCGCGGGTAAGTGATATGTTACGCACGAGTTTGTTGAACTTTTAGCGTCATCGCCGACCGCGGTAACCTGCCGCGCGTTACCGCGTTCAAAAACGCATTTCCGTTACCGGTGACTACCGGGTGAAATAATGTTGTGATATTGTGTCTTATGGATAATTACCTATTATGTGTGTGCGTGTTTGTGCGGGTCGGACGCGACAAATCCGAGAAGCGTGCGGCGACGGCGGCGGCGGAGGCGTCCGGCCTAAGTTAAAGTATAATAATAATAATAACGATATGCTGCGGTGGGCCGAAGCGCTACCGGTGTGCACAGGGTTCAACTAAAACTGGCCTCAATAATAAAAATATAATCGCGCACACGAGAAGCTCGCCGTTGAACCGTTGAACGCGCGGCCGCGGTTTTTTAGGTCCATGACCTCTCCGAGCCGGCCGGCTTTGACGCGATGGTAGACGTCACGCGGTCGGGCGGGGCGTGTTGGTGTGACGGCCGGCTGACGGGGGAGGAACGGCCGCCGGTGTCTCGTCGCAGACGGAATGACCTTGGTGACCGCCGCCGTCGCCGTATGCGTCCGATTTGCTCTGCGGTTTGTCCGTCGCGCGTCGTCCACTGCGGCGCAAAGTGTCGTGGCCGTCGCCATTTTTGGGAACGGTTATTATTGCCGAAGTTATTACCGAAATTTTTTTAAAAAAATTGAATTCTTTTCTAATTAAAATCGAGCAACTAGATTGCATAAAAAAATTGTGCGTATAGAAATTAAAAAAAATTATGACAAAATTAATTTTATAATATATTTTGTTTTAGCGGAGCAGAGAGATGCTATTGGGTTTTTTTTTTGATATTTTAAATCAACTTTTACACAAACGTTTTAACGTTTTTTTTATTTTTCATAATGTTATTCTTGACGACGACGACGATAATCGCCTTACGTCTCGCCGCAACGTTATGTGTTTTTAATCGGTTTCAATGTGCCAGACTTCAAGTACACAATATATTTTAATCGGTTCCAATGTGCCAGACTTCAAGTACACTCTAACCGTTCGGTAATCTCCCGAATTCAGTCTCGACAGTTCTATTTTTATTTGCACACACACACACTGACACACATTGCGTACGTTTTCGAACTCTCAAAGCACCTTTCTCGCCTTTTCTTCACGACCGCAAAAAAAGAGCATTATTTTGCACGAGCCGTGTGCCTAATCAAACAAACCGTTTTTGGTTGAGATTAAATTAATTTTACACCCGCGTTACTATGTAAACTAATCGTTTCGAAAAAAAAAGGCAATTATACGTACACATTTACTATATTATTATAATAATTTACAGTTAAAAAAACGTTAACCGCCGTTAACCGCGTGTGGATACACTGGATAATGATAATGACGATGATAATATTTTAAATACACGTTTTAGTGCTTGCAATATTAATAAAATACTATTAGGTACGCCAAATATCGTTACGATTTAATATAATAAAGACACACACACACAGACAAATTTCAGCCGACACGCGCGTCTGGTTCGGTTAGACGAACATTGTTTTTTCACGCTCAATTTTTTTAATTATCATTATTATTATTTTTTTTTTTACAGATAACAAAAACGTCGCTGTCTCGCGATTGTTGGTTTGACAACACCTCCTAACCTAACCTAACCTAACCTCGTGGACGGTGAGAGTTTGTGAGAGTCGTCCAGAGGTCATTGATGTTGGCGTGTATCTGGCTGTACAATATAATCGTCGTTGATTTATTATTATAGTGCGCCCACGAGTTTCCTCGTTTTGGGCGCGATTCATGTGCAATCGTTTCTTCGTTCAGGCCATACAATCTTTTGACGGATTACCGTGAACCGTGTATAAGCTGGCCGGCTGGCTGGCTGGCTGGCTCACGCACAAACTTAAACATCAAATTCTCTTGAAAAAACTGCACGGATCACACCAGACGAATTATGTGTGGGGAAATCGAAAATGTAAGTATTAACACGGTTCAGATTTGATCATTTTAGTCCATATCCACTACGGATGCCAGGGATCCTTGGGTAGAGGGCCCTGTTTTGAGTTTACCAGATATAAGTTAGGATCACGGGCCCACGAAGTTGGATCAATGTTTTCTTACCTGGGTGAAAAAAAACACACAAATTTTCCCAATTTCTTTAGTCCTCCGCAAACTTGCCGCCAGGTCATTTGTCAAGTATTTAAATTTATTGTTTTTAATTTAATTATAATAATAAACCCGTCGGGCCGTTCCCACGTCGTCCGACAATACCTCGGAATTTTTGTGTTTAAATTCAAATTACTTGTTGTCAGTCGACTACGCTTAAATCGTTGACCATCTAAACACATTGGGACTCGCTCGTGGTATATATTATTATTATAATATAGTGTCCAAATATGTGCGAGCTCTTCACTTTCGGAACCACTGTTTGTGTGTGTGTGTAGTTTTTGCACGTTTTACCAATATTGCCCCTCCCCCCCCCGTGGTGCCCCCGATACGGCCGAGGTCAATACAATTCATTATGTTATAATATTATACACTCTGGTGATTGCAAATGGTTTGTGCGATATAGACGACAACGGTCTGGTTCATTTCATCAATAATAGTAATAATTATCGAGTCGCTCATACAGATAACGACTGTCGGCGGCGAATTCGCATGGTATTTATATTTTTATAACGTTAAACGCGTTATCGTTTATGTTATAATATTGTAATCGAATGGGGTTTTTTATTTTTTTTTTACTAAATTCAATAGCAATATAGTATCTCTCCACGAGAGGTAGGTTTGAATAAGAAAATCAAAAAAACAGACTCCTTGTCAAACGGCGGCATGATGACGGGACGCCGTTTTTGGAATAGCGCGACTCTGTCGGTTTCTTGACGTATCCACACTCAGGTCCTTGTCCCGGTCGTTTCCCCAAACGATTTTTTTTTTTTAATAATATTTTTATCATTGTGAGTAAGTATAACATATGTTGTTTTGCGTGCTGTCGTTTTTGATTTCTTGCCAGACAACCCGCTGTTAATCTATTTTCGATCGTCCGTCGCGAGGTCGACGCGTTTAGAGAGCCATTAGGAGGTACAACGTATTTGCGGTTGAGCGAGTCCCACTTGTGGAATGCGAGAGCTACCTCTCATTATTATATATAACGTAATATGTTTTCTCAAAAGCATATTATCAAGGTTCAGACTACAATATATGTACCTTGTTGTACCTATCTATAACATAATAATTGTTTAAACCTGTGAACAATACCACGCATTATGAACGTCACGTTATATTGTGCCCGGCATAGGTCCTAATTTAATGTTGTCAGAAAACACAATAATTTGTCACTCTTAACCTAACCTAACTTTTTTCATGGTATCTGTACATGGTACAAAAATTTAAGAATGTTTTACTAGACCAGCCAAGATCCAGCCCGTCGTAAGGGCTTATTCGACAGGATTCACAGGAGTGGTGAATGTGTTGTAACCTCTACGCGCAGCTATAGCTGAGTCTGCTTCTACATGACCTTACAAGTAGGGTCGGCCAGCTACTATTTGTTTTTTATTCACTCCACACAAATTCATCTCGATGCCTTTACTTATGACATCTACCCACTTGTTTTTCGGTCTATAAATTCATTAACTAGTTTTTTAAATTTAATTTTCTTTCCTCCCTTGGACATATCCAAACCATCTCATACTGTTCTCTCTTGTTTTTCTTGCCAATGGCGCCGTTCACAAACTACTCCTTATACAGTTATTTTGTCCTAGTCCCTCCACACGTCCAGTTCAACATTCTAATTTTCGCTTACAATCCAATACAATCTTTATCTATAGCAGTGATAGTTGATTGTTGTCACGATAACACTAATGTACCGTTTTCGTTCTGCGATCATCGCGGAATTACTTTAAACTAGATTGTAGATCTATTAGAAAATATACGAGACGTTAGACTTATTCTGTCATATATTAATTAATAGCATATAATTGTGTGCATTAATTACTAAACTTTGAATGTGCTGTTGTTAGAAGATGAGTTTTGTCTAATATATCGAATTAATTTATTAATTGAATGTCGTGGGTGTACATTATATTAGCATTAAAATTCATAGGTCTTGCCGTATAAATCCAACAATTATTTCTTGGTTAATATTAATACATAACAGATATGTACACAGTTTTCGATATTTGAGTGAAGATCCGTTTACTTGCACTCGGTTCGTCTTTACCTTTTTCAGACTCCCACGTACACCGCCCTCGCAAGTTCAAAATACCTAGTACACTAAATATATATACCTATATATGTGTATGTGTATCTCTCACTGTTCATACCCTGCGCCCACGTTGTTTGAAATGTCATTCATATTGTACAGTACAATGTGCATGATTTTCCCGGTAACCTAAGCGGTTAGAATATAAGTTGGCCCTCTATTATATGGAAGGCACGATACATTTATACATATTAGTATACAATAAGTCTGTTTCTTGGAAACGGTTTTGTGTGTATTTATAAGCAACAAACTTCTAAAGACGGAAGAGAATCGCCCGAAAAGAACTGCGTACCCGCAGTTTTCAGACGTCAACCGGTGTTGCTATTAATTTTGAACCGTAGCTAATTAAACAGACATTTCAGTCATCAGGTTTTCCCTGTACCGGTCCGTAACGGGGTTCCTAAGAGTTTTATTGGAATTTTGGTAGTAAGCATTTTATCATCATTGACCTAAAGCAAAAATTGATAGCGTCTGCGCCACACACACAGTTTATGATTCCCATGGAATGCAAATTGAATACAAATGGAAAATCTAAATATATGTGCTTTAGCGGTTAAAATTTAATTATTTTTGCCGGGTTAGGTTCAAATTTATTATTTCGCTATCACATTTTATCAAAGATAATCACAGATTTCCCGATATAAGATATTCTATCATATCTGTGACGTTAATATTAGTATTACTGTACATAATTCTCCTGAGACTCCTAAACTTTCTCAATTTTTTACTAACAATGTTTACCCTCGGATCTATTTGAGCACAACGCTCAAAATTGATTTACCACGGCGTTAATACCATTTAACTCGGGATAGGATAAGAAGAACCGGTATGCACGGCTTGTGTGTGAAATACAAGTAAGTAAACTTAACGCGATGACGATTTATTAGGTTACTCACATTGTCTGATGGTTTAAAAAAAAAAATTTTTTTTTTTGATGTTTCTTGTAGGTATATATTTTACTCCTTTTTTTTTATTCCATCACTCCGTTAACAATACGTTCTTTATAACGGCTCATTATTACACTGGACAAAAAATTGTGACATATTTTTCGAAATGTAGATAAGATTTGTAAAAAGAAAAAAAAACCTTAACGTTTTTATGTCTAAGAGCTTATGTGGGTTACATATTATATGGGGCGGTTGTATAGCGAAGAAGATTCGTTTGTGTGATAATGTATGCAGAAAACGGGCGCGCACAGTCGATTGAATGTGTTTTGTCGTTAATATTCATTTTTTATAACGTACACACTGCAATATAGTACGAGTTATGTATGGTTATTGCCACAAGAAGCGACGGGTGAAATGGCGTTCAAAATATATAAGTGCTAGACGGGCCATAATAACAAATGATAATGACCTCCAGACGGGAAACCGGCCTTAAGTAGTCCTTACCTTACCTCAACGGTACACAGAGTATGTAACAAGTATATTATCATTGTTGGCAACGCGATAATTTTGGCGTATAATTTGCATAAATTATGTTTTCCCCTCTGCCGCCTCCCACTTGTCTTCTCTGTTTAGTATGTCTATAGTGTACACTGTGTCTACTCGAAGCGCCTACAGGAGTAAAGATTCGGAGGAGGGCAATCTGTATATAATATTATAAATATGATAGTATTTATTTTATTTTATTTTTTGCAATAATTGCAGGCTGTGTGTGTGCGTGTGTGTTTGGTAGTATTCGCATGGATTGCATTTACATAATATTATAATATGCACGGTGAGTGTCGAGGCTAATAAAAAAAAAACCGGCTAGAATTTCAGACAATTTTTTTCTAGCCAAAATGTTCATGGAATTTTTTTTAAATCCGTTATTATAATTTTTTTTTTCTTGTGGTCGACTTACATTTTTTTTTTTATAAGTAAACGACTAGAAACATGTGCACGCGATTAACAACGGGTACAAAAGGTTAATAATGGCGGACGCTTCGCATGAGTCAACCGCAATATTGCCAAAGGTAAAAATCATCTTGTACTCAGGCATGTGTAAAATGTATGAAAATAATATTATAATACAGCCGAATTGAAAATCACTTCGGTTTGGATATAATGCACATTAAATTACATTACCGGCGTCGTTCGATAAACGCAAAAACGTGATCTCTATACCTAGGTCTTCTTTTGCTGCGATCGGTATAAATTCTGAAATTGGTTTTCACTGTAAGTATAGTTGCATAATATTTATTATACAATTTTCCACTTCTTGAATTCAATCCGGAGCACTACTAGGTCCAAACAATATTCTAGCGTCAATCAATAATTTGTAAAAAAAACGTAAGTAAATAGATTGCGTTTAAGGGGAGGGGATGTGGTCTTTTTTGACGTTTTAGAGTTTAGACCATGAAGCCAGACAAAATTTAGACTACTTAGGATGGTCCGATTTCAATTCTGTAAAGGTATAATAGATCTTTGGCAACTTTACCTAAAAGTAGGTTATGTAGAAGACAGATTTTTTATTTTTTGCTTTTTTAATGTAAAAAAATTGAGTTTTAATACTTAAAAAAATGCAAATTTAATTTGTTTAATTACAAGAAAACTACATTTATTAATGAAAATCGGCTTCCTACATAACACAGTAAATCAGCCAAAGAACTCGAGTGTCTTTACAGAATTAAAATTGGACCATCCTATGTAGTCGAAATTTGTCTGGCTAGAAACAATTATTTAAATTAAAAATAATACATTAAAGCTTATAAAAATTAACCTGTAAATTAA